CATTGTACCGCCTATCGTATAAAAATTGTGAAAAGCTGATTGATCCAAATCAAGGTGGTACAAATCACGGGAGAAAATGGTGTTTGTCAATTTTGTGTCACTTTGTTCATCAAAATGGCTTTGCTCCATGATCTGATGTATCTGGCAATCAAAAATGGCACCGTTGGAAAGAGCATTCAATTCTGACCAAGGCTAAGTCTTCATTTTTGCATGATGAGCAACAGTATTCTTAAAAACGTAAATTTTCCAAACCATTGCATCGTCATTTTTAGCGAAATTCATCGATGGCCCTCAAAAGACTTCACGCCAGTTTTCGAATCATTCTAAAGTAGAACGCATGATAATACGACACGGGCACCTCGATGCGATGTATCTTTTTGTTTCTTACAAAATGCTTGGCCGTCAAAAAGCAATCGAACGAAATGGATATCTACCAACCAAATCGACACAGACCAACCCAATACCCACGGGTCAAAAAATCCCCCCTTCGCGTTGCGGAGCACGCGGGTAACCCTAGTAATGTCTATGAATGCACCGAAATATTGAAGACCAGTTCAGGTTACCATAGCGACTGTCACAGTGACGGACGTAGGAGGGCATTTTGGGCATTGGCACACCTCTACGAACACTACGGACATTGTCCGTACAAGTGTCTATTGGAAGATCCGAAGAAAAATTGTATAAACAGAATGTCTGAACAAGTTGCGGCAGCCGAGAACTGCATTATTCATACTAAAAAGACATCAATAAATTATTATCAATGACTACGTTGTTACGGCAGATGTAAATTAAGGATTAAGTTTCATATAAAGCCATAAATAGGTACGTTATTTTTTGCATCAGGTGAAATTTTGCAAATATTACACACAAAAAAAGAGTTTATCTCAGAGAACACCTTACTGCCTTAACGCATGCCAAAAATCAACAAAATAACTGTTAACACGCGCAGTGGAAGGGGGGGGGGGCGGATTTCGCCCACCCCTCCTGTTTTTCGCCAATAACTCGCGCCGCAAGCATAATATCAATGTGAAATTTCGGCTACCTGTCCAGAATTGAATTGCAGATCTTCTCGTGCAAGAAGTAAGAAAATCGGTTCACAACTTTTCTAGTAATAGCGGTGTAAAGTCAAACATCCTGCCGCCGCGGCGGCGCGGCGGCGCGGCGGCCGGCGCTAGCCGTTACGCGCCGCCTGAATTGTAGACTTTGCCGGGGCGGGACGGTTCCGTCTTTACATCGCGCTCCTTACCGCTGATTATATTAGATTCGCGTCAAATTCGGTGACAAGGCTGAGAAATGTACAAGCAATCATATGGTCAAAGAATTTTGAAAATCGGCGGGTAACAACTTGAGTTATGAGTGTGTAAACACCAAATTGTGATTGCCGCGTTTCCCACGTCGGCCGATGCCGCTTCAGCCGGCGACATCTTACCCTTATCAGGCTTCTTACTGCCATATTTATTGTTGGAATATCTAGAAATTCACTATACATACTCACAAATGTTTGCTCTTTCGTATAGTGAAATATTTTTTTTTTTAAAATCGGCCGGTAACTTTTTGAGTTATCGGCGTGTAAACGCAAAAAGTCGCTAATATGGCAGATTTGACCACATTTGACCTCATTTGACCTTGAAGATATTGACCTACTATAGGGTCATGAAATTCACACACAACAGAGGTCCCTATGGCCCCCACCTACCCTCCAAAGTTCGTCTTTCTAGCTCCAGTGGGAGCTGAGATCTTAGGGGGCGACATCCGCCCCCCCCTTCCACTGGGCGTAGTACTCGCAACCCTTCCACTGAGCGTGTTAACCTTCGCCGGCACAGGCCATTTTGAGTCCTTCGATGGCACAAGGGGGGTTGGTACGACCCCTCCCCCGCGTTTGGCCCCTGATCGAGCTAGAGCTTCGCAGAAAAAAACGAGCGTGTTGCGCATCACGAGAGAAAGCCGATGATATCCAATTTTAAGGTCCTAGGTCATCGGGTAACCTTCCAGGTCAGGTCAATTACCCGAAAATCGGGAAAATCGGGACCTGTTAGAAAGTCGTGTAGTGTGGCTGCTATGGGGTTTTCCGGGGTGCTGATCACGAATATCGTGTTACACTGAAAACAATTCAACCCGCGGATTGCGAGTTGGCCCGGGTATCGCGGGTATTTTGAAGAAATTACCCGCTCTGCGCGAGTTTTTGCTGCCGGGTAGGCTGACTACCCGTTTAGCTTCCCGCGTTTCGCAGAGCATCCCGTTATCATCGTAGCTTTCACCCGCTTCACGGGTGTCAACGCCCGCTATACTCGGGTAAAACAGCAACCCGTCATGCGCGGATACATGAAACCTCCTCTGGCGGGGTCAATCACTCGTCTGCAGCGGGTTGTGGCCGCAGGCGTTACTCGCGCCCACGGAGTAAGCGCATCACGCAGGTTTTGCATCGTGTAACTCGCTGCGCCAAGGTAGGTGACATGCTATACGCAGTTTGCCTTGATCACGCATATGTCATGGCAGATATATCCCACTGATGCACGGCATTGGTTTTGAAATTAATACTTTTGACTTCGACGCTCAAACGAGTGTTGAAATGTGACGCGCCACAATAGTCGCTTTTCGGCTCGGCTGCGTGCTTGTGCAGGCCTTGTGCAGGGGTAGAGATGTGCAAGGCAATTGTAATCGTAACTGTAACAGCTGTGGGGCTGCGTTCTGTGAGTTAGGAGGGTACTTAACGGGCTTGGGACATTTGAATCATTGTTTGGATGACGTCACGTCTTGGCCGGCAGAATATTTCGCTGGAACGCTCAGCAGAATATTCTGCAGTCCGCGAATCTGGCGCATTGTGGTGAAGTTTGCAGACCGTTCTTAGCACATTTTATTGGTAAAAATAAGCCTGGATAAATAAATATTTCCCGATGCAAATGAAATATTTGTCCAAACTATTCCTTAATATTTAAAACACTATAGGCGGATTCATGTCAATTGTCTAAGATAAGCCTTTTTACTTTCTGTATTGAGTCCGCCGTCAGTTCTTCATTTTAATCTGATATACACCGACATTTCAGTCGCTTTGCGTCAGGTCGCCTGTGGCGCAGTTGGTAGCGCATCGGTTTGTAATGTCAAAGATATCGGGTTCGAATCCCGGCGATGGCGGCGTTTTCCTCCTTGAACGCCGCCACTGGAGGGTACTTTACCCTCCAGCTGATTTGGACACCCTACCAGCGGATATTTGTACTCGCAGAAAGCGAGTTCCCAACCCACGCAGCGCAGGTAATACGCCATGTGCGGATTGTGTACCCGCTGCGAACGGGTAGGTTGCCTTCTGTGTGTGGGTTGAGTCCCCATCCTATGCGGGTTAGGTACACAATATACTCGGGTTCACAGCCTGCGATATGCGGGTAAACGCACCCGCTGGTAGAGTGTCAAATTAGGTGGTGGGTAGGTGTACCCGCCAGCAGCGGGTTTTACTCGCTGTACGCGGGTTGAATTGTTTTCAGTGTAGTTTTGATCAGAGATGATGTCTTTAAGCATTTAGACCAGGTCGGGTCAGGTCAGGTCAGATCAACCGGTAGGGGGTCGTGACGGGTATTCGTAATACGTATAATAATAGCTTCGTAACATGTTTCGAAGGCACCAAAACTACTTCGTAAATGTTCAAATGGTTGCTAAATTCGAAATCAGCTCCAAAAACTAGCCTAGAAACATGTAAAACTCGAAAAGTGAACCGAGGTCACCAAAGGTCAATGACCTGACCTGACCCTCAGGTGACCTTGACATCCACCCATAATGCATGGGAGCAACATCAAATCACATGTTTGAACGTTTGAAACCACCAAAAGCTTGCAAACGCGCGGCCAATGCGAGCCGACATACGCCGAATCGCGATTCCGGCCAAACATGGTCTCGGAAGGTAGGTTGCAGGTCAAAGGTCATTCGGGTCAGGGTCATGAAATTTTCAGGGTAGGTGTAAAATTGATAAATGCGAGGGTACTGAAAGTTTCGTCGCGATCGGCCGCTTTTTACACGAGTTATTCGCGAATAACCTTAGGGGAGTTGCATCACCCCCCCCCCCCTGTGCCGCAGAGGGTTAAACTGCTAGAGATATAGCCATTTGAAAAACTAAAAATAAAGCGACTGTTCTTATGACGTCGCTATATTTTTACTAACATTAGTTTTGCTTACAAACAGTCTAGGGTAATATTTATGATAGGTACTTATCCATCTCTTGTGGACTAAATATGTGTAAGTGGTGCACTGTTTAACGCGTTATTATTATTTAGTTGTCGCTTTCCTTTTGTCCGGCGGATGTGACGTCCTGCGCGACCTGTCACGTGACCGCCCGGCGCCGACCAATCGCGTGCCGTCCGGCCCAGAGCCGGCCGGGGGTCGGGGCGTGTCCGCGCAGGTGAGCTATTTCCGTGCCCGACCGCTGTGAAGTGCGCATGGTGATTGAGTGCGTCTGATCTCGAACGGTACACTGAAAACAATTCAACCCGCGGATTGCGAGTTGGCCCGGGTATCGCGGGTATTTTGAAGAAATTACCCGCTCTGCGCGAGTTTTTGCTGCCGGGTAGGCTGACTACCCGTTTAGCTTCCCGCGTTTCGCAGAGCATCCCGTTATCATCGTAGCTTTCACCCGCTTCACGGGTGTCAACGCCCGCTATACTCGGGTAAAACAGCAACCCGTCATGCGCGGATACATGAAACCTCCTCTGGCGGGGTCAATCACTCGTCCGCAGCGGGTTGTGGCCGCAGGCGTTACTCGCGCCCACGGAGTAAGCGCATCACGCAGGTTTTGCATCGTGTAACTCGCTGCGCCAAGGTAGGTGACATGCTATACGCAGGTTGCCTTGATCACGCATGTGTCATGGCAGATATCCCACTGATGCACGGCATTGGTTTTGAAATTAATACTTTTGACTTCGACGCTCAAACGAGTGTTGAAATGTGACGCGCCACAATAGTCGCTTTTCGGCTCGGCTGCGTGCTTGTGCAGGCCTTGTGCAGGGGTAGAGATGTGC